TCGCCTCCACTCGTGACTGTGCTTTCTCTGCGTTTCATCGCACACGCCTACAACTTTCTCGACTCGGCCAACTGGCGCTTTGAGAGAAGCGCACCTCAATTCACCCATCAGCCCTCCAACAGGGCCATTTCGACTCGCTCAGTCCAACCTGTGCAAACCCATATCCTTCGCCCCCCCCCTCCCTGTCCATTCCTTGCCTCTCACTCAGCCCCACACTCGACTCTCCACTCTCACGCTCGGCTGTCCCCTTGTGTGCGCAACCGCATACATCCCATCCTTCAGACAGACCTCCCTCGCAAGCTCGCTCGCTCGCTCACTTCTCATACGTTCGCATCCCGCTGCGCGCGTCCAGTCATCATCCCATCCCAGCCCGTTGACCCATCAAAGACAAAAAGATATACGCGCTTCATCTGTAAGCATACCATCGTCACCCGACATTACTGCCTAATTTCCCCTTCCCCTCTCCCATTCTTCATTTCAACAAGCAGCGCCACATCATGCCGCTCCCCAATGCTATTTTGCCGTCCGCTCTGTCAGCTGTGGGCGATACGCCGCTGATTCGACTCAATCGCATCCCCCAAAGCCTCGACATCAAGTGCAACGTCTGTGAGTGTCAGAGACGGCGTCACTATCGATCGCCGTGTCAGTCTCTTGACATCCCTTGCCTACTCCCCCCTCCCCCTCCCCCTCCGCTCGATGCAGTGGTCAAGTGCGAGTTCTTCAATGCTGGCGGATCCGTCAAGGATCGCATTGCGGGCAACATGCTGATGCACGCGGAAGCAGAGGGCCTCCTCATTCCCGGCAAGTCGGTCATCGTCGAGCCTACGTCTGGCAACACGGGCGTAGGACTAGCCTTGGCTGCAGCCATCAAAGGTTACCGATGCATCATTGTATTGCCCGAAAAGATGTCTGCTGAGAAAGTCACTACCCTCAAGGCTTTGGGAGCGGAGGTGGTGCGCACTCCCACTGAAGCTGCTCACGACGATCCGCGCTCCAACATCATGGTGGCCAAGAGGCTCTCCAAAGAAATTCCAGACGCGGTGATCCTGGATCAGTACAACAATCCCAACAATCCGCTGGCTCACAGACACACTGCCCAAGAGATCATTGACGCTATCGCCAACGGCATCGCGCCACCCAAGAAACCAGTGGCTGTGGCGACCAAGGTGGCTTCCGACGACAAAGCCAAGGCTGGTTTGCCCACGCCTGACTCCACTCCTCCGCCCTCCCTCAGCGGCCTGGAGATTGGTGTGGGTACAAGTGAGCCTGCGCCCGCATCTGTGCCCACTGTGGTCGGCGCGCAAGAGCAGGCGGACCAGTCCAAAGTTGTCGACGTGCTCGTCGCCGGTGTGGGAACGGGCGGCACGATCAGCGGTATGGCTACGCGCCTGCGCGAATCGGATCACAACCCAGACCTGCACGTCGTGGGTGTGGACCCGTTCGGATCGACGTTGGCCGAACCTGCCACGCTCAACACGCTTCCAGACGGAGAGACGGGCGCGTACAAGATCGAAGGGATCGGATACGATTTTGTGCCCAACTCGCTGGACAAGTCTCAGATCCAAACGTGGATCAAGACGAAGGACGAAGAGTCGTTTGAATTTGCCAGGAGACTGATCAGGCAGGAGGGCTTGCTTTGCGGAGGTAGTTCGGGAGCTGCGATGGCCGCAGCGATGCGCTTCTTGCAGCAGGGAGGAGATGGATACGAAAAGTATGGAAGGGTGCAGGGCAAAAATGTCGTCGTTGTCCTGCCCGACTCGATCCGCAACTATATCACCAAACCTTGGTTGTTGGCACCCTGAATGGGCCTCAGCAATGAGGTGAGCGACGGCAAGCTAAGCTAAGCCAAGCCTGCCGCCTCGCCTCGCCTCGCCTCGCCCTGTCCAGTCCAGTCCATTGCAAGTCCCTCCACTCCGTCTCCGTCTCCGTCTCGGCCTCGTCACTCGCCGCTCAACGCGCCGTCGCCGTCTGCCACCGTCTCGCTCCATAGTCGACCAGTCTGGACCGGGACCGGGTGCGGGAGCGGGAGCGCCGCATCCCTTGTTCAATCCCGACCCTTTTGAATCTTTCTGTTGCCGTTGATCGTCTCCCACTTGGCCCG